GCTGATTTTGCTACCCCGTTCTTAGCTGCCCATGTTCGGGATAGCCATGTCATGCATGAGATTGCCATAGATGGCCTACAGCATGAATGCGGATCAAACGGCCCTCCCTGTGCCATAAGCAAAGTCGCTGTGACTCACTACCCTTGTTTGAGACATTTTCAGACCCATACGTGAGCTGTGCAGCTGCGCTCCTCTTAATCGGCTGATGGAGTTCGTACAGAAAACGCATCCCACTCGTTTAACCACCCCGGGAGTGGCCGCCACTTCAATGAGTAGTGTGCCCGGCAAACAGACCTGGACTCACTGGCGTTGGAAAGCAGGGGCCTGTGACGACCGCCGCAAAAAGCGCGCCAGCTCCTCCAATGCCAGCCCATCCCGTTACCGCAAACATTCACACGTGCTGTGCCGGGTTCCTGCAGCTTGGCCGTTCTCTTGATGTTCTCCTGCATCGTGAGCAAGCTTCGTGGCTTCTTGCAGGTTTCCAAGCCAGCTCTGGAAAAGCCATCTTTTCGCACCTCTGCCCCACTAAGCCGACGCTTCGCCGAGAGGTCTGCAGTCAGGTGCACAAGACCAGGGGCCCAAAGTGCGACAAACTCACCCGAGCTTTCCAACACTGAAGGCAGCGTGTCATGTGCACGCATGTCTGAGCATCCTTGCCATCTCAGCATCAAACAGGATTTTCTGTAGATTTCTACTTTGTGCCTGTCTGCCTGCCCACTCGCTCACGCAACGCAACACACCACGCAGCCCTCTGCCCAAGAAACATCATCTGAGACCTGTAGGCCTCCCTGCCACATACATGTTAACCCACTCTCAAAACTTCAATTTACAAGCGCTACGAAAATACTGCCAGTTAGGGCGCTCACAGGGGCCTCGTGAAGCTAAGTCTTCCGCAGTGGGAGCTGAGTCGATGGCCTGGGCTCGGCTCGCGGACCGCCAAGAGCTTCGCATATTCCCCTCAGGCTCATTATCCTTCAGGTTGGATCTTAAGTACTCGACACTCGGGGCATGTGCGAGGCAGGTCGTGATTGCTTTCCTCTTGTCTTTAAATGAAAGGGCTCGGCCAAACCCTTCTTGGCCGAAGTGCGAGGGACGGCGAGGGAGTGGTGTGCCTTTGCGTAACTACCCTCCCTGTGCAAGCAGCACGCGAACTCAGCGAACTCGACCACGAACGCATCGTTTCAGGAAGACACTGTCCCCCCAAACACTGTGGCAACCCGCAGGGGTTGAAACGTTCAGGGTAAGATGTTCGGCTAGCGGCGAGCGCCCGCTGCGGACCAAGGTTATCTTCCATTTTGGACGAAAATCGCAATCCTCGAAACTGTCATCGCTTTTGGACTTCTAGGCTCACGTGGTCACTGTTGGGGGTCTAATCACGTTGGAGCCGGCGAGCACAATGCAACTGGACTTCATCCACGGATGACGCAGCCACAGGCCGCGCACATCAACTGCACAAACAGGCATTGGACTACTGGGAGTACGGCTGAAAAAGCAGCAGCCAAAGTCCCGTTCTTGGCCGACTCGAGCAAATCATTGCATGCCTGGCCGGCCTGATCGAGTTGCTGCTGAATCGACGGCATACAAAGTCAGCTGATACATTTAGGGATTGGGGGTTGCGCGCTAAGCGATAGACAACGACAGTGAAAGGAAGCGCCTGCTTCCCAAGCAGCACAGGAAAAGGTGTCACCCCGCGCTGCAGGTGCCTCGGCCGGAAACCCTTGCCCCTATTTAAAATTTGATGTTTGGGTGGAAGAACATTACTACTGACACGAGGAAATGAGAATAACGTTGAGCGATGTTGATCGGAATGATGATAGATGGCTGATAGGATGCGCCGATTTGCAACCAAACCATCGTCTTTGAGTTAGCGGCTCTTTAGGGGAACTGCCGAGGTTTTGCCGATGCACATCAACTGATGGATCTGGAGCTCCGCTCATGCTGAGTTCCTGGCTGCTTCCTGAGAGAGCCGTCCTCCTCCCTTTCACGTCTCAACCTGTGATGGTCAACTCCGCAATAAACTTCGATGGAACTCTGTCAAATCAAGGAGTGTGCGGCTCATTGTACAAACTAAGAAGAGGGCTTTGAGGGCTCAACCGTGCTCAACCTCTGGCTTAAAAATCCTGCTACGGCCCGGAAGTCCTGCCATCCCGTACAAACAAAGCATCGCTAAGCTGAATCAGAACATGCCGACGGATGCTGCAAATGGTCCAGGCACACTAAGGACTTCTTCAAGTGCCTCAAAATCAGGTCTGAAGCTGCAGGCAAGGGGCACTTCGCGTTGCTCATAGATGATGTTTTCCAGAGTCACCACGGTCTCGCGGCTGCCTGCCATGGACATCCACGGCATCCAAGCTCATTCTTGATATGCCCGTGGCCAAGTTTCTGCTAAAGCAAATTCCGTCTGGCCACGCATGTCACTGGCTGCAAGCAGCTCGCGGAGTTCCGCCAGCTCGCCCATCAGCTGCGTCTCGCGCAGTTGTGCCGCCTCAGCGAAAGTTTCTTCAATGCCTTGTCCCGCAAGTACCGAGCATCGACAATGCGAGCTGAGGAGTTCCAACACCGCTCGGCAATGGCCCTGAAGTCCCTCATAATATATACTATGGCTGCAAGTCAGGTGGCGGCGGCCGCCTGGTTCTTTTCGTCCAGGAGGCGAGCGTAGGCTGCCTCGCAGGCAGGAAGCCCAATCCCCAATTCAAGAAGAAATCATCTCATCGCGTAAGTCGCATCAGAAAGCAAAGAGGGAAACCGAATCTGTCCTTGTAGAACTTCAGGATGGCAGCCTGGTGGTCCCGGTTTTTCTCCTTCCTGGCGTTCTTAAAGTTGCGTGCAGGGGGTGCAGCAGCACATGCTTCTGCTTCCAAGGAACTCCCTCTGCAGCTCCAGGCGGAGCTCGAGCTCCCGATCTGCATCCAGCCTGTGCGGGGAGTGTCAGAGTGTAAACCAGCTTGGAAGACTGTGACGGTGCTTGCTGTCAGCATCTGCGGTCCCCATCGCTGAGGGCAGTCAAGGCACTCTGCCGGACGGTCCTAGTGTCACAAAAGCATCAAGCTGGGTGGAGAAAGCATGCCAAAGCAACACAGGTCCTTCGAAGAGCCTGGTGAAGAATCTGATTAGCAGATGCATCGCAAGGGTTCGAACACGCAGTCCTCCCCATTGATTGTGCTGAAAGAAGAGCTCCATGACCCATCCTGGCATGATTGGGAGCTCTTACAATCAAGGCAGGTGCTGTGCGAGGAAAACCTGCATGGAAATCAGAGCTGTGTTGCAACAGACACAGGACAAGAATTTCCGCAATTCAAACATCACACTGACCGTTCAGGGGTTGAAAATCCTTCAAGAGTGTGGCAAGGTTGGTTGGGTCAGCGGTCCTCAGAGCAGCTTCTCCTGCCACATGAAGGATCCACGTTCCAAGCTTGCCATGTCAGCCTCAGCACCATTGCGAGCTTGTTCATGAACTGCACAACGCGCTGCTTCCAACGGCTCACACCAGGTGACTGGTTCGATCCCTTGTAATTATTGATTCCGTGTGACATGACCAGTGGCTCTGAAATAAATCAAACTCAAGCTGCCTCACTGAATTGTTGAAGCGTCTCTTTCTTACTCTTTCTTTTCCCTGATCCGCAGCAAACCCTCAATGAGCTCAAGTTGCAGCGCCTGCCAAGATGAGGACTTCCCGTTTGAATGCCTCTCTATACATGCACGCTTTGAGGTAATTAATCAGAGAAAGCCGAGGGTCTGTGCACTTTGGCACGGAGCCATGCAGCCCGGCCAGTGGCTGGTGGACACTGGCAAGGGTTGCGCCGGCGACATGGCCACCGACGCAGCTCACATGGCGCAATTAGATAAGCCACTGTGCTCGAATCTTCGGACTATGATGCAGGCCCTGGAACACCCAATCTTCCACCTGACAAGAGGAAAACATTTTCACTGGAAAGCTTCAGGATCGGGACAGATCGACACATGTTCCAATGTGAAGTGGAATCATATCATTCAAAATCGTATTGCACCCACATCTGCGATATTGCGACCGTCAGAGAATGTGTATGGACATGAAGAATAATCACTGCAAGACGACCCGGACTCTTTCTTCATGGATGGGGCTCCAAACTTTCTGAAACACAGGAGACACATGCCCGGAACTTTCCGTTTGAATGCGGCACAACTTGCAATCCCCCTGGTGGGCGGGCGGGACAAACAAAATTGTTGTGCATTACCTCAGAGGGGGTTGGGGGTGTTGGCGGGCGTGGGGGAGCCGGGGGTGGCGATGGGAGTAGTGGTTGTCGGGGTCGTGGGATGGGGATCGTTCGATGGAGGTCGTGGCGGTGGTACCGATGGAGTCCTCAGGAATATCCCCTGGCCATCCTGGCTGTGAGCATCGGAGTCGAATGACATCGCGCAGACCCTTTTTGCTCCTCGTCATCTTGTCCCGACAGGTGAGGCGCAGGGGGCTTTGGGGCTAATGATTGCTAACAGCATACACTGCTGCGTGCTGGGGTCTGGGGGGTGGGATAAGTGAAACGCGTCAAGCGTTGCCGCTCCCAACATGGAGGAGCTCTCTGACCTTAGGATGGTTGCATGATCTTGCTGTTTGCTTGTTTTGGTTCAGGTGAAAAAAAGACACAACTCCCTGGGTTCCCTCGCAATCCTGAATTCGGAAACCCGGATGCCGCAGAAGCATCATGCTAGTGCAAGTGACACACTAGATGATTCCGAGAGCATCCGGGGAGGTACCGCGTTGCTCCTGTTATGGATTCGCTGGTTAGGCGCAACCAAGCAAAGCCAAGTGCTTGCAGCCTCACATCAATTGAGCCAAGCATTATGCTGAAACGGCGTGCACTGCTGGTCGAGTGACTAAACCCTGTGGGGATTGTTGTTCCTGCTGGTTATTCGAGAAGTCGGTCAAAACAGGCCGATATCCATTGTCAGAATACCATTGCGTGTGTAATCCAGCTACAAAAGCCCTGGACTTCCAAGTGTCGGGCACCCCAATGTAAGGCCGCCTAATCTTCGAGCAATGAGGCCTCATGCAAGCAACGCATGAAAATCTTCTGTGTGCACGAGACTTCCGCACTGAGGACACAGCGACGTAAGCCTCCAGGGAGGCCTGAACACAAAAACGTTAGCTTGTGTTTGTTCCGTCATGGTAATCCCCCAAGGGGCTCCGCAGACATAACCGCCACCCACCGCATGGTTGTCAAGCGGGGCCACTGCCTCTGTCACTTCCTCGACGAAGCAAGTGCCCTCAGAGCATCATAAATGGTGGTGACATATCACATCGAACGCAACTTAGGCTTGACGTTATGCTGTGCAGCTTGCCTCCATAGGTTGCCAGGAGCTTGAGGCCTCCAAGCATCAAGCACTAAGGCGAAAGCGAATGGAAATGCCTCTAGTCCTGAGGGTGAGCGAGCCGTGACTCAGGCGCTTTCGGCTCGACTTGTTTGTTTGTAAGAGGACTTGCAAAACTAAACAAAAACGCCGCCGCCATCTGCTGCCCTGGGATCGCTGCTATACTCTTGGTTGTGACCACCGCCGGCAATTTGCTGGGTCACTCTTACCCTGCTGGGACGCACCGCTCATGAGATGGATGATACACCACCGCACCGGATTACGTCCGACGCCAATTCGTCGGACGAAGGTTTGGGCGAACCGCCGATCGGGAACTGGATTGTCAGGGTAAGGAGACTTTTCAGATTCCCCCTCGGCGGAACCAGCCAGAGGTGGTTTTCCACCCCGAAGCAGCCTGGAGTTTGAAGCGCTCAAGGTGGAAGGGCTACTTTTGGACATGGTGGGTCTACGGATGTTTGTAAGATGCTGGCTGTTGGTGGCATGGAGTTACCGGGCTGCTCCTGCTTGTCATCTTGGCCTGGACACTGGCCGTGCTCGGGCCATGATTGGCAAGATGCAGTCGTGCCTTTGGTTGCTGCTTTCGGGCAAATTTAGCACCACAACTCGGCTCCCACCTTCCAAGAATGAGTGTGAGTTAGTGAAACGGCTTGGTGGCTGGAGATGTGACGCCGTCCGCGCATGCCTGTACACCGACCACAAGGTGGAACCCGCCAGGTCTCGGAACATGTTGAAATGTCTTGCCCGCTGTTGCAACCCAAAAGTCTGCTCAGGCTCCGTTTGCGAATACAAGCGAGGGAAGCACCCGCTGCGGTTTTTGGTCCGAGGTCCTGGCTCAAGCCCATCGGCTAATACAGCTCCCGTTTGTGCGGCAGTAGCGTGAGTAGCACTTTTGCCATCACGTATGAGGCGCCACCGCCATGCGGGATGGGAAGATAAGGCGTTTTTTTGGACTGGATGGACGAGTGGTCGAGTGCCTATCTCATCCTGGAGCTCCAATTGGCGGTCACCCCCGCGGAAAGTGCTGCCGGTGGTTATCCATCACCCCGATAAATTAAATGCCTTGGGATGATGAAGCGCAGGCCACAGCCACTGGGCATTTCCAGGCAATCAGCACAGCTAAGGGGATTTTGATGGGGTGACGCATACCTTGTCCTATATCCTGTACATGCAGCTCCAAACCCATGTTCTGTTCATGTCCTTGCGCGTGCACAGCTGACATTGAATAACACCCTGAAAGTGTAGGCTCTTTTGGGGTTCCCCGGGGGGGTCAGTTTACACCAGGGGACGTAAATTTACATCCACATGTGAACTGCAATTTCTTACCCATCGGATCTATCAGGTACTGGCCGGTTTTTATGATGCATGCCTTAGACTAGGTTTCCCCTGTCGAATTAGCCGGGCCCCAAATAGGGTACTCCGAGGTCACACACGACTTCAGGTTGTTTAAAGCGAGACCAAAAGCTACCCCCTTCGATGGGAACGCTCGGGCTTTTACAGTTCAGGTAGCCGAAAGGGGTTCCCTCCTTGCGGATGATTCATTACAGCATTCTGCAGGGTCGGCTGGGCAACGAAGGAGGGGAATCCGATATCGGCGACTTCGACGACGACCCCTGGAGACAGCCCCACCATCCCTTCCCACGCAAACAAAGCAGCCTAAATCCGGACAGGGCTGTTGCAGCCATGCTTGGAAGGAGGACGAGGGCTTCCACGCTGAAGCGCTGCATCGCCGTCTACGCCCCATGGAGGCGATGGCTAGTCAAGCAAGGGCGCGAGGGAACTGCACTGTCTATATCCTCGTACATTTGGGTCGCTATGTGCCACCTGTCCGAGGTGTCCACTTGGGCTGGCCCGAACACACCGAACCCTTGTTCCTGATTATAGCAGTCCGGCAAGGTCTTACCTTCCGCTTCCCTTAGGTCTTAGGTCATTTCATAGATCAGTTTCCAACGCCGTAAGCTCTTCATCCGGGATAATCTCTAGCTCAGGGTGCTCTTCGCCAGAAAACCCTATTGCGGGGCGGCGTTGGTGGTGTTCCTAGCTCCGTTCCCTTTCTGCCTCCCCCACTAAAGCAGCCACAGACAACCTGCTCGCAAACCCGCGGGCCCCAAGACCCTCCCCGAGCACTAGTGCAGCAAGCCTGCAGCAACTTTGAAACTGCACCTGTTTTGTAGGGGTTCTTCAGCCAAAATGGCTAGTGTTTTGCCAGCCATTTGGCCTCCATGACATGCGCATGTTTTCGCAGAATAATGCATAACATTGCCAACTGCACATGTCATTGAAGCAAGACATAGCACTGCAACTTCCACATGTGCAACATGTATGTCAAAGAGCTCTCACGCTAGAGTGTAGTGGTACACAAGTGGTCTTTCGAGAGTAGACTAAAACAGCTTCGATGCTGAGAGGAGGAACTACCACACGCGGTCGTAACCAACATACTTGGCCACGGCGGCAGTCTTTACATAAGGGTATCGATGAGGCTTAGCAATAAAAAAACCAGGAGCAAGTGCATGCATAACCAACTCACATGACTCAGCAACGATGGATATGGCAGCACTGGGTGTCGCGCTGGGTGCTGGGGAAGATCTGCGGGTGCTTCCTGCGAAGCTTTGTGGTTGCCATGCACAAAGATGCAGAGAACAATTATCAAGTCATCATGAAAACACGCGTCACATGCACTTCATACCCTGTGCTTGGTTGTGGGTCGCAAGGACTGCTGGGCCACCGGCTTCAGGTGCTCCGGCTCCGACAGTTCGTCGGAACACTTTCACCTCCGATCATCTCCATAGCAAACATGTGCACGCCGTTGATGTCGAATCCAGTGCCCCGGCCTTTGCTTCTTCTTCTTGAAACCCCTGTACCTTCGTTCAAGTAGGCACAAAGCGGAAGACCGAACCTCTTACCCTCACGTTCAACTAGGCGCAGACCTCCTCGTCTTGTTCACTTGCTGGGCCCACAAGTGGCTCCTTGCAACCCATGTCATAACATGAAAGTCGCAATGCCCTCCCAGTCCAATCCAATTGCTGGGGCTGCAAGTGGCTCCATGCAACTTGCAACCCATGTCATAAAAAGAAAAACGCCTTGCCTTGCCCTCGCATTCAAGAAACTGCAAGCCTCTTCGTGGCACTCTTGAAGTGCTAGCTAGCGCAGCAATTGAACCATTACAACTTGCAGCCCATGTCGTCGTTGGAAAAAGCGGAAGACAGAACCTCTTACCCTCACGTTTAAGTGGGCGCAGTCCTCCTCTTCCAGTGCACATGCTGCAACCGGCTCCTTGCAACTTCCAAACGGCATAACGTCATGAAAGGACATCGGGCCCCTGTATCGGAAGGAAAACTGTCGAGGCACGCGAGGGCTTGGGAGGAGAAGAGAATCAGAAACAAGCCTTGGAGATGCTACAAAACCCGAATGCAAACACGTGTTACGTTCATCGTGAAAGACGACACGTCACGCGCGACACGGTTTCTAGATTCTAGAACTTATGTTCGGGGTCCCAACTGACTAACAGAGACAAACTGACAGGACACGAGACACGAGACACCGAGCAACACAAGACAAACCAAATTGCACGACACGAGACACACCACGAGACACGACAGGGGGACAAAACACGACACAAGACACAAAACACAAGACACAACGCCCAACACGACACACGACACGAGACATGAGACAACACACGACACGAGGCACGACACAAGTTACGACACGAGACACGACACGAGACACGACACAAGACACGACGCGAGACACGACACAAGACAATACACGAGACGCCACAAAGGACGTGTCATGAAACTCACGGCCGAGGTCTCCACCTCGTGGCCATCTCCATCTCGGTTCAACTGGCCAAGGAAAAAACAAGCCAAGGAAGGGACATGGATGCAACATGCACGTTAACAAATGCTTTCCCATGTTGAGATTTCCTGTTGGGTTGCTCGGCCCTCGGCATTCGCGTGTCAGGCCATGACAAGATTTGCTGTGATGGCAAGTGCCGCGCTTTGAAACCCCGTCCCGAAACCACCCAGGCAGCTTGAAAATGTTGTCCAAACCTTTTGGTTCAAGTGTAGACATAGCACATTGAATTTAGCCGACACTACTACTGAGATGTAGTGCTATAGGTCGAAAAACATTGAAGATGGACGCCACTGTAGATGGCACGAATGGAACCACGATCTCAGCTCAGTACTCAAACAATCTTTGCAAGGATCACACCGAACCCCTTCCGGGTCAGTACCGGTCAACACTCTGAATGACACGATGCCAACAATGCACAAGAGACCACGCACTTCTCCTTTTCTTGCCGTGAGCGGGGAAGCAATATTCACCAACGTATCGGAGATATAGCATCCCTGGTCACAGGTAAAAGATCCTGTTCCTCACTCAATGAATCGACATATGTTAACTCATAACATGAGAGTGGTGTCTTGAGGTTGTTGCAATCATTGTTGTCACGACTCAGCTAAACATCATGAGACTGGTATTTCTAATTACACTTGTTAACGATTGAAGGATTCTTTCAACACATATGAACCAGCTTACCGAACGTTTTCGGCAGACTTAGCACGCTTTACGGAGCGGGAGCGGCACCGGCATTTCTGCAGTTTTACGGGCCAAAGCCTTGCTCGAAACACATTCAGCCCGGCGAAGCCCGAAGCCTCCCAACCATAAGCCACCATTGAGCTTCCCGGCCTCTGCTCCCCTTCCCTTCCAGCGTCTGCAGCGCGAAGGGCACAAGTGGACCTTAAACCGAATTTGGGGAAAGAGCGGATCGTACCTCCCGTTTGAATGGCGTAGAAAGTGAGGTTCAATACATGGTCATAAAGTCTGGGTCTGTCAGGGACCGGCGGCCTAGGCCTAGGGTTTATAGAAAGACTATACTCCAGCCGTGGAAACTTGGAGAGCACAGCGTCACACATGGTCGCAAAGTGTGGAAGCTCAGCCCTGTGCGGACTGCACGCTATGCACGTCACTCCACATGACAAGCAGCAAGCACAGGAGGGAGTACCTCAGCCGAAGCACCAACAGCTGCCTTTCGTCACACTCCGCGCCATTTTCTCTAAGGCTGGGGCAGCATGATGCCAGCAATCGGAACAAATGTGGGAACAAACGTGGCACGCTGGAGCCAACAGTGTCCAAGGTTTTGATTCAGCAACTGACATGCTTGCGGAACACAGCGCGTGACCGCGAACTTGGCTGCCCGATCTGTATGATTGCTAAAATGGAACCACGAACAACATTGTGGCCTGATTGCGGCGTAACTCTTCAGAACCTGCATACGAAGATCTTCCAAGGAAAACTTAAACCTGGGCTCCGCCGTGCATTCTGTCTTAAGTCTTAAACTTGCGTGGACCTCGGTGCAGGTCTGCAAAGGGGACAAGTTTTCGAGGTTCCAGAGTTCAAAGCTGTTCCTCACTTCTTGGTTTCCAACTGTGTTGCAGTCTTAACGCAAGCCTTGGAAGTCTTGGGCTTGTTCTCCTTGCGCGTGTGAGTTGACCCTTACGATGGACCGACCGCTGACGATTCAGTCAGGTGCAGGCTGTCAGGTGCAGTGAGTGCAGTGAGTGCAGTGCCTCTCTGAACGTCAGAAGTTTCAGCGCTCCCTGTTGCCACAGCACGGCACGAGCCGACACGGCTCTGTCGTCTAGAGCTTTAGGGCTTGGGGCAAACACGGGCAAACGAGACACAAGGAGGAACTGCACACCATCTCATGCTTTGATGTGACAAAGCATACATCAAGAGGATTCCGGAATGATTCCGGGCTTCATCTTGTGGCTTCTTCATGTTCTGCGCCACTTCTGCTTCTCTCTACAAGTCATCTTGTGAGAAGCCTGTCCTTGTGGAGTGGAGCTGGGATCTGTCGAAGCAGTCTTGCGAAATTCCTTGCTGCGTTGCTGCCTCAGTGATGAACTTGGACCCAAACCTCCCCACCAGTCAATGCTCCCGGAAACCTTGGCACCTGGCCCTAAACCCGTGAATTCGAGACGTTGGGTCGGCACCGGTGCTTCCACTCTCAGCTCACAAGGATCCCATTCGCTGTGCAATGCGGTGCCGACCTCGATGCGCAGGTACTAGGACACCTGTCCCAGTTTGTGCAGGCGGCTGCTGCCGAGATCCAGAAAGCTCGTAAAGCCGTGAAACCACACCACCCGAAGCCTCCCTTTGCAAAACAGAAGCGAGCCTAGTTCACTAGACCAAATGCAGGATCCTTCAAGCAGACCTCCGCCGCTGCCCAGTACGTTCCTTCGGTCTTGGGATTTCAATTGCTTGCGACGGACGGAAGGTCTCACGTGCGCGCCGATGCTCCGATGCAAAGCCGAGGGGCTTCTGCATGGAGGCGCATACCTGTCCTTGCGGCGCAAAGCAATTAATGACCCTAGACTATGGCAATTATGGTGTAATCCCTATTGTGGGTAATGCGAGATTTACACCATCAACCGTAGAGTCAAGAGCGTCATGCGAAGGACTGTCGACTCGCAACTTGCGCAACCTACCCAGGCAAGGTGCATGACACCGGAGAGATCCATCAGGACACACACGGATCAACCGCGCGGGTGGGCAAAGCTACGATGCAGCAAACGAGTCTCTGTGAACCATCCATGGAAGCATGGCGGACGTGAACTCACTCTTATGTATGCCCGGCTTAGCACTGGTGCAACGTTTCGAGCAAGCAATATCTGCGCTGTGTGCTTCTGGCCTCTTTGCTGCAACATCTGAAACCTCGCCGGAGTGCCTGCACAAGCCGAAGTATGGAATATTAGCTTTAAGTTGTGAGATCAGAACGTCTACGCAGTCGCCCACACCTACCTTGCTCAAACATTGCACAGGCATGAAAAGGTGACTGGAAACAGGGATGAAAACAACCTCCAACGAATCTCGCCTGCATTGGATGCGTGAGGTGACACGGGAGTCCATGCCACCTTGGTCCAAGCTAGGGCCGGCTTTAAAAAGTGATTTCGATGCTCACGCTCGCACGCAGCATCTCCACTAAAATCAGCAGAGAAGACAACATACAGAAACAGGGAGATAAGAGATCAATAGCAGATTCAGGCAGTCTGCAGAGAAAAGCACTTGTATGTGGTCTGTCTCTGCGTTGAGGCGGGACAGCTGCCCACTATTTCAAAATAGGCATGCACACCTACCTACAGACCAAAAACTGAAACGAAACTAAGACGCAATTAAAGGACCTTCGGCTCCACATAAGCTTCGTTTGGGTTCCCCAACTTACACACCAAACACAGAAACGAAACTGAGTCGCAATGAATTAAACGCTTTCGTATCGGTTGCCACCCACCTACACAGCAAAAACTGAAACGAAATTAAGACGCAATGAATCAAATGCTTTCTGGCTCCACATATGTTTTGTATGCGTCCCCGCCCACCCACACACCAAAAACTGAAACGAAACTAAGACGCGTGATGAATTAAACGCTTTCCGGCTCCACACTGTTTAGGGTTTAGGGGCTCAAGGGAAGAGACCGTCTGAACCCTCCTGGGGCTGCAGCTCTGCTCCGGAGAAATCCATATCCGGACGACCTGCGCAAGGGCTTTACGGACATGGCGGAGATGAGTGCCTGTATGTATTTATTCCTGCATCGCACCTGACAGAATCAATTGTCGAGTTCCATCACGCTTCGCAGGGAGTAGCCGAGGACTCTCGACAAACTCACACACCATCTGCCCAAATACCCGCAGTATGAAACCCACGTATGTTACTGGGTGCTTAGCAGTGCATTGTTCACGCAGCCTTCATGCAGCCTTCATCAGGACTGTATCACTGTTGCAGGGCTCCTGGCTGATGGGCGCTACGATCAGCGCGGGAACAGCAGATGGTGACATCGACATGTCGAACAATCAGCAATTCCTCCAAGCCATGGCAGTAGACATCCACGGAGTCCTTGGTCTCGTGGGAGGTCGCAACTCTGCGACTACATTACGGCAGCCGTGGAATCCTAGCAACTTAGCACAGCACGAAGCAAGGAATCCGGCATCATGTTGGTGACAATGGCCTTGGAGAGTGAGACTGACTGAGGATTCACATCTTTGTACCCGGCACTTGGCAGATGGATCCCACTGGCTGCCGGACCAACAGCTTCTTGAGCTTGCCCAGTCAGCTCACTGGCACTGACCGGTGGTATTCTAATGGGCTTTGGTAATGTCTCGATGCCCTTCTCTCAATATGCTCGCAACTCCGACATTCACTCCCGTGGCCTGTCGGTACGTGTCTTCGTTTGTCTCGTGGATAGAGAACCAACTTGGCTGGCGGGACACGAATCGAAACGGAAATCCAGCCCTCCTTGCACACTAACTCCCGCGCAGGTGCCTCAGGGAGGTTCTTGAGAAAGATTTTCTGAATATTGACAACCTAAGGCATCACACAACCAATTGTAGGTGTTACTGCTACAGCCCTTCCTGCTGCAGGGTTCAACAAGTCGCACCAAGCCTTGGAAGCCACCGAGTTCCAGACCCACGGGTCCCCAGTCCTGGCTTGATCAGCCCTGGCAGCAGGAGCCACTGCCGGCTCTCGGCAACCACGATTGCTTGCAATCTTGCGTAACCGAGTCTCCCGGCCAAGTCTAAACTTGCTCGCATATGTGCAAGATGCCGTCAGGTTCAAGTTCTCCTCCACCACCCGCTGCACAAGAAATTGTCACAGTAGGGCAGCTCGACCGCGCGACATGCCAAAACAGGGCACTTGGCAGTCCTTGCCCAAGCTGCTCACAACTTCTGGCCTGCAGTGGAGAGCAAGTCTATTTGCAATCCGCAGCGCGGTGGACAAATCGGGCTTTATGCAGAGCGATGCAAAACAGAAGGATGAGAATGCCGTGGTGAAAAATTGTCTGCCGGGGCTAAGTTGGCGAATATCGAAATCTTGCAACGTGCCTGATTGGCTATAGACCACACCCCGTCTCCTAAGCTGCCCACCCTGCCTCCTTCCAACCTTGACAACCCTGAAACTGATACGAATACTACATGCATGGATAAGATAGGTATCTGCAGAATTGTGCAACCATGCATCTACCGTATGTGTTTGTGTGATTCTGTGCATTTGTGTACGTGCGTACATTTGCATCTCTGTGTGTGTGTATGCATGTCTGTATACTGCATGAAGGCTTCACTGGGCATGAGAAGCGGGTCAAGTCCTCCCGGCAGCTACGGGCATGAACAAGCTGCTGAGTCTCTTTACGCAGGATTGGGCTTGACATCAAGTATTCATCTCTGATCGTGGGCCTCAACCTCAAAGCGCCAGTTGTAGACCAAAGGAGTTGCCAATGTAAACCTGATGCCTGGTTCATCCACTTCGTAAAACCAATCTTTTCCCTTTACAGCGCTGACGCCCTTGTATCTGTCCAGGAACTGCTGCAGAGCGTTGCAAGGGCTGAGCCCGGAAAATACGATCCCCACTCCTGGGGCCTCATAACGGACATAACGGCGAGGCCGCTTAGCAGCATCCGCCAACTTGACGCGAAGGCTTCCGATGGTCAGTATTGGCTTTGTCGACCCATCGCGCACCAACTTCTCTGGCTGCGCTAGCCGACACGCAGTGCCTTTTCCATCTTGGCATCATCGTGGTTCACGCCGTCTGCAGAATGCCATGCTGTGCCCCGACTACCCGACTCCTCCTGGAGCTCGGATCTGCAGCGCTTGCGTGCAGCGGGGCTTGATGCTGGACGATGCGGCGCTTTCTTCTCTTGGGCTTCCAGTGCCACGCATATTGTCGCAGTCTTCAGCTTCGTGCATGAGCGCATTAATTATGTGCTGTTTTTTTCTGCCTCCGTTTCATCAAGGCAGTGTTGTCGGCGTCGTTGTGCGGCCATGGCGTTTTCTTATTCTTACGAATCGCTGGAGCATCTTGCGTCAACCGTACTTTAGCTACACCCCAAATCCGAGACCCTTAGCCGGTTACCAGGCAGGTTGACCTTGTAGTCCCATATTCAAAATCGGGCGCCATGGGCAAAAAGACGCGCCGACCGTTTGTCCGCTGCGACCGGGACGGCATGGCCCGCGACGCCCAGCGTCGCAATGCGCAGAGCACCTGCAAGTCCAGGTACTTGGACTTCGGCTCCTTCTTCGGCTTCTTCTCGCCCCGGAGTTCTCGGAAGAGCTTCTCCAGCCATCCCTCCTCTTCCTCTTCCTCCTCCTCCGTCTCTGCCAGAACGTCCTTGATGGGCTGGATCTTCTTCTCGTACCACTGGTCGATCCGGGCCTTGATGCCCTGCGCATCCGAGGCGTCGGCCTTGGCCGCGTCCTCAAGGAGCAACGGAAGCTCGCGGAAGCTGCCGCCAGCGCGAAGGTAGAAGTACTTGAGGATCTCCTCCCGGCTGCGCTCGTCCATCTTGAGATTTTCGGCAATCTCCGAAATCTCCAGGGCCAACTCCACGAAGCCTCGGCACGAGCTTAATCACGACTTGGCAGCGAGATCCTGCATTCGCCCACACGGCAACTCCAAGCGACAGGGCAAAACAAAAAGAGCACACAAAAAGGCAGCGGGTCCACCACCACCAGCTCGGACATGTTGAACTTGTCCTTTAGGGTCTCTACTACGTGGCGCGCCCGAAGTCGCCTTGCGCGAATCCCAGCGCGCAGCCGCCCCCAGGCGGGCAATTCTGTTTGCGAAGCCAGACTCCAGGATGATTATAGAGCACCAGCAATAATTTGGCCTCTATTCGGTTGTCGGTCACGACGCGGTCACTACGCCAAGTTCCCTCGCAAGCGCCCCGCAAATCGCCCCGCCCGCCTCCCCGCCAAAAGAAAAAACTGTCAACCGCGGCTTGCGGCGCAGCACTGCAGGCTCCACATTTGAACGTGATAAGAAGCTCATACGACTTCTGCGAAAGAAGACATGCCCCACTGGGATTGCAGGCGCGGCCCAGTGTCTCCACCCAAATCCGACCGAAGCGTGCGTGAGTCCTTTCTAGCAGCCCTCACACGAACTCCCAGCCGGACAACTCGCAAGATGCCACGAAAGCTTGGAGTCTTTTGACTGCTCACACTCGCGCCGGCAAGCTCCAGACCCAGCGGGTCGCCTGCGGACGTGCAACTGTGAAATGCAAAAAAAGTAGCGGGACAGGCTGGCGCCTGAGTTTCCTTCATCCAGCTCGATGAGCCTGACACAGGTCCCGCGCAGGCCCGGAAAACAAATCGTGGCTTGACAACTAGCCTCAGAGATGTCGGCGGGCTGTACCTGCCCGGGTCGGGAGAAAGACAACAGAGACTTGAACAGTTGCAAGACTCTACTGCGGCCCGCAGAGATTCGCACTTGCCTACTTTTTTGCTCAGGCGCTCGCCGTTCTTTCAAAGCGGTCTCTGCGCCTGCAAAAACGTCCGCACTATAAGACTACATGTAGCCTGCATCTTGCAGGCCCTCCTCGGTCTCGCCCAGGACGTAGAAGACGAAGTACCAATGACGCAGAGCCACCTGGATACTCGTGGTGCTCCGGAGGACTGCCTGCTTCGGCTGCAAGCGCCGGAGCTCCATCTCCAGCTTCGTCTCCTTCTTCAGGGCATCGCCCCCGCTGAGGTAGCCTTTTGGGCCCGCCTCGGCCACCTTCGTCAGGTAGTCCAGGTACTTGGACTTCGGCTCCTTCTTGGGCTTCTTCTCGCCCCGGAGTTCTCGGAAGAGCTTCTCCAGCCATCCCTCCTCTTCCTCTTCCTCCTCCTCCGTCTCTGCCAGAACGTCCTTGATGGGCTGGATCTTCTTCTCGTACCACTTGTCGATCCGGGCCTTGATGCCCTGCGCATCCGAGGCGTCGGCCTTGGCCGCGTCCTCAAGGAGCAACGAAAGCTCGCGGAAGCTGCCGCCAGCGCGAAGGTAGAAGTACTTGAGGATCTCCTCCCGGCTGCGCTCGTCCATCTTGAGATATCCGGCAATCTCCGGAATCTCCAGCTCCACGAAGCCTCGGCACGGGCTTATTGCACGACTTGGCAGCGAGGTCCTGCATTCGCCCGCACGGCAACTCCAAGCGACAGAGAAAAACAAAAAGCACACAACAAAGCCAGGGTGCTCTTCAAAGGCAGCGGGTCCACCACCACCAGCCGGGACATGTTGAATTTCTCCTCTAGGGTCTCTACTACGTGGCGCTCCCGACTCCCATCTAGCCGCTGCTACAGCACCTAGGCAACACCCTGCACGCCCGATTTTGACCCAGCCGCTCCTGGATCTTGTCGGCAATGAGGGACACGGACACTTCCAGCACGAACTTGCACAAAGCATACTCGTAGGTGAGCGTCCGCGCGAAGCTGCCGACGGCAGCGGCGATCGCATCGCACTGGTTCTGGTCGAAGTCGTCGGCACGGTTCTGCGTTGACAATTGCATATAGATTGTCAGTGGGTGCCCAGTCTTCTTCAGGCACCTGCTGTTCAGCTGTTTCATCAACTGCACAAATGGTAAGCGCAGCTGAGGGAAGATCTCCGGAACCCTGTCGGCCAGCAGCACCTCTTCAACGATAGCCGCAAGCTCAAGCTTGTCGCCCGGCTGCAAAGTCCGAAGTATGGGCAGCACCCATTTCCCCTGTTGGCGCCGGTGTGCAAGCAAGCCTTTCAGCATCGCAGACTTTCCGATGCCCTGCGGCCCGCTGATCACTATGAACGCAGGGACTTGCATAGCACGGGGGCCAGGCATGTCAAGGAAGGCCCTAACGTCTTGCTGCTGGGGCCGGACGGGAATACGCATGCCCGACACTTCGTCGGTCATGCCTTGCGCGGCATCTTCTACTGCCTGCGTGAGCGTCCTAAGTGGAAAAAGATTGGCTGGTATTCTTCTCAGAACAAACTCACGAAGCCCTAGTAGGCCGATGCCCGAAGTCACCAGCTTCACGATGGTGTCCGAAATCCCCCACCTCCCCCGTGGCTCTGCTTGCATTGTTACTTGCGATCGACCCGCTTGGCCTCTCGCAGTCAGGCCACATGGCGGCGCGGCGGGCCAGCTGGGGCCCGGGCAGGCTACAAACATCTTCGCCAAAGGAAGCTGCGGCATAAACAAACAGCGCTGCAAACTCTCCTGTGCTGGCATACTTCGCGCATGGCAACTCGGCACTGGACCAGGCCTGGGATCGCTGTCGGCAGCGGCACCCAATCCACAAAGCTGCCACCTGCCTCTGCACAGACTTCAGCAAAGCGTAGCCTCTCGAATCCGAGGCTATCACCGTCTCAACTTCAGCAGCTCTCAGCGCGAACCCTTCGTCGTCTGACGATCCTGCGACCCTCACTCCAGCGTGAAAAAGAGCAAAGGCCAGGCTCATGGCCGATGTCCTGGCAAGGCCGCGGGTCGCAGGAGAATCATCGAGCAAATGTACCGAGATCCTCGGACCGGTTTTGGCAGCGTCGCAAACGCTCTTAAGGCTGCAAAAGCACGCAATCCCTTCGTGTCGAGAGATGAGGTCAGTTCTTTGAAACTCTAGGGGATCGACAAGATCGGCCTCAACGAGGATACAATTCGTTTGTGCCTCAGGAGCCGATGCACGAGGTGCACGTGGATTTAACAATCATGCAAAATTTGGTGCAAAACCCTATCCCTACATGTTGGTTGCAATCGACAGCTTTTCGAAGAAAGTTGCGGCCTTACCCGTCAAGGATCGCCTGGCTACTACCACAGCGACTGCTATGAGAACTGTTATCGATAGTCTGGGTGTGCCGTCGCAGGCGTACTCAGATGATGGGGCTGAATTCAAAAAGAACTTAAGCAGCTGCTGGATGATTGGGCTATAGAAAAGTAGGTAACCAGAGGCACGCGTTTTTGGTGGAAAGGGTGATCCGAAGAATCAAAGAAGGGCTGCTTAGAAGACTGGATCAGGGAATCCGTTGAAGAGGGCAGTGGCACCTGCTGTTACCCGACAGAATAGCTCAAATCAACAATCGGGTTCACACGGCTACAGGAGCAACGCCCAACGAAGCTTACAGCAACCCTGGCAAAGCAGACGAAGCGTGGAACAACATGAAAAGCCACGCTAAAGAGACTGCTGAGCCCAGAGCCATCATCGAGGTCGGGGATCGCGTCAGGATCAGGTTGAGACCTCAAGAATCCCGCGCGTCCTACCGCGTAAACGAACTCAAATGGTCTGAAAAAGTGTACAGGGTAGATTGGAGCACAGCAGCTTGGGTCCGCACCATCGCTTAGACGGAACCTGTGGTCAGGAGGGACATCAGGAACCTCGGAACCCGCAACCTCGAAGCCTTGCACAACGGTCCAAACCGGACAGACCCTGGTGTCCAGAGCCCGGCCGCGGCAAAGAGGATGTCGACGAGGGCCTGGTTGCGAGAAAGGGCCCGCGGTTCCCGGCACGGGTGGGAAATGCAGGGCGCTCTACAGTTCTGGAGGCAGCTTCCCTATTGAACCCCACCGCAACAACAGAGTGAGGCCCACGCTTTCCAGCCAGGCTCCGGCGAGCACCTCCTATGTGACGCCGGGTTGTGTCGCATCTTCTGCGTGTTCTTTGCCTGCTCTGTACCCGCTGTGCCTTGAATGGCGCGGCGCGGGTCGCAAAAACCATCAAAAAGCATGCCATGCAAAATAACCGACAGTAAAATCCGTGCCCATGCAAGAATAAAGGCACCACTATAGAACTCAGCCATTTTAAGGGTCTGTGACCCCTATAAAAACAGTGCCGCAGGGCCACGAAGGAGTATTTTATTGCGATTGCGGGTTTCGGCAAAAGAAGGGGTTTCAAGGTTTTGCCTGCGCCAACTGTACACGGAGCCCCATGAGGGGGCTTGAGCCAACTGTACAAGCGTCCGCAGCGTCGTCGCCGTACAACGTCGTCGCCGTTGTGCCGCGTCGTCGTCTACCCTATCTATCCTATATAGTGGGCACGCTGAGCCGCAGCCCAGGGCCGAGGAACCTCGCTTGTGGGGGGAGGGTCTGGGACTCGGCACGGCGGTCCAGCGAGTGGAGTTGGGGTTCAGATGGGGCCATGAGTAACCCATCACCTTTCGTGAAGCTCGCGGGCTGGGGAGCGTGGTGGGGGCGGCCCCGAACACCCCAAAACCCCACACGCCTGGGGGAATGCTGCCCGTTTTTTTGGGGAGCCATTTTTCTGGGATCCGGGTCTGCTGAGCAACAGAATGCTGGCCTTTTTTCTGCAAGTTGGAATTCGACCTTGTCTAGTTGGGCGCAACAACGAGAAGCAATCCGCCGAGCAGGACGAACGCCCAGGCCTCGCAGCGGCTCCCGCTCGCGAACAACCGCCTCCGCGAGGTCTCGAGGCAGTTCGACGAGCAGCAGCCCCTCATCTGTGATGTGAGGGGCCCACCGACTGAATCCTCCTCCACTCCGGCCTCAAAAACGCCCGACGCTCATTGCAGGCCGACGGCGACAAGTACACGGACTGGCTGGCCCACGTCCCCCGCCAGCAGGGGCGCAACGTTACCCGTCGTTGTCAACGGCTCCCTGTCCCGGCAGTCCAGCGGCCTCAGCGACCAGCAGCCCCACGCCCGCGTCAGCTGGGGAAACGGGAACCCCATCCTGAGGAGTTTTACCGCTACGACGCCACCCGAGACTGGGCCTTCTCCAAGCAGACCGAGGTCGTCGATAACAGAGGACGACGAGGCGACGACGACGCGGCGACGACGAAGCGGCGACGCGACTGGGTTGACAATCGGGTTGACAATCGGCTCTCTCTGGGAGGGTTTTCCAGCGCTCCACTCTGTGATTGCTGCAGGTCCAGGTTCGAGACATAAGTCAGAATTCGGTACTTCGGAGCACTGTCGATTCGCGGGCCTATCAAGCGATCTTATAGGGGCTCTAAAGTGCGAGCAAAACGGGATTCAAAGGGCCTTTCGTGCGCGGCACTTCGAAGTTCGTTCACGGTGCTTCGAAGTCGCCGTTCGCGAGCTCACTGGCTGCCAACCAGCTGCTTGCCGGCAGCCAACGAGCTGCCAACGAGCTACTTACCAGCTGCCAACCGGCTGCCAACCAGCAGCCAACGAGCTACTTACCAGCTGCCAACCCGCTGCTTACCAGCCCAACCACTGCCAAACGAGCTGCCAACGAGAACAGCCTACGAGCTGCCCTATGCTCTGGCCGCGGACCTGGCAGTCGCAGAGGGCACCATCGTCGCCAACGCCTCCGGCCTCGCGGTGAACAAAAGCACGCCGGCCTCCGTGGTCAAGCGAAGAACAGCAGCGATGAACTCCAGCATCGCTTCGGCCAACAATGCAACTCTGGCCACGGTGGCAGCAACCTACGCTCTCAAGTGGTCGTGGACCAACTGCCCTGTTAGCAGACATGGACGCGGCCCTGCCCTGCGCGACGCGCACGACGCCGACATCCTGGCCCTGCAGGGCCAGGGGCCCTTCGCCAGCCCCCGAAAACCTCGCGGCCCTGGAAACCTCACTCTACTCGGCCATCGACGCCATCCTCGCGCAGCTCGCCGCCCTCAGCACCTGGGCGCGCCAGCAACCTCTCGATCATCGACAGTTGCACTGACACAGTAGTTATCTATAGCTATGCAGAGTGCTCGTGTCCAGCACCCTGCGGCAGTGATGTACTTGTGGTGCTGGAGGAGCTAATGATGCTGGCGTTGGTTGAGGCAGTGGTGGTACAATACCCGCGCTGGGAGCGGCGGTGCAAAGGTTTGCTGGTGGTAGCATGTTCGGTTTGTGTGCTTCTGCTGGCAGAGATTATCTGAATGTTGATGCACCTCGAAGGTGTGGAAGTGGCCGTCCAGAAATTTCTTTGCCCGGCGTGGTCTCAGAAGTGAATGGTTCAACTTCTCGCACCCAGCCCAGCTCATGCCTTTTACGAGTAGTCGAATCTGAATCCCCGCCGACAAGTAAACGGCAAGGTCTTGTCTTCAAAGAGTCGAAATGACAGACCGTGGTCTTGCGTGGAAGTCGATCACGGCTCCCCCGTTTGAGATGCTTGCGGACTTGGGATGATTGCCCAGTCGCCAGGCGCAAGATGCGTGCGAAACGAGCTACTTCGAATGATCTGATCGCACCTGGAATGCAAGCATCTCTTTCTGGACCATAGTTTCCCCCGAAATGGTTTCAATAGCCTGTAAAAATCCCCGCAATGCACGTTGGGCTATGCATCAGTTTCCGGAAGGCATGGCAACTCGCGTGAGTCCTGTGTGACATTTGCATGACCCATGCCATGAAAGCTTGCACTGGCCGTCAACTGTTACCCATGGTGTAATGTGACGTGCTTGAAACACCGCCGGTCTGCATCATGCCCATGGATGGGCCAGGCGGGCACACGGTATCCTCGGGCACAGGGTCTGCGGAGCAGTTGTAGCACGACGCGAATATTTTGACCGATACAACCGCTGACGAATTGGCACCGTGACTGGCATGATGCAGCTGCTTTCTGTGTGCATATTTCAAAAACAGTGTATGTGTGTGTGTGCGCCACTTTCTTCATGGGCTGACGGCTTGTATCAAACAAAATTTGCCTCTCGTGAGGGTTGTGGATGATGTGGCCTTGGATGTGGGCTTGGGGGGCTTGGATAGCCCGTGGCATTTAAGCGACAGTGAACCGGGTCTGATCGGAAACTGCCCGTGGCATGTTCCGAAACCCCGCGCCGAAAATGTACGCCGAAACTTACCACGAGTAACTTCCTTGAGTTGCCAGGGTCTCGGAGACAGCAGCTCAACAAGAGCCGTTCATGTCTGTGCGATGGCAGCTATAACTGTAACAGTATGCATACTTCATCAGCTATGCAGATCGGCATGGCACGAGGCTCTGGTGGGAGCTCTTGCTAGCAGCCGAAGATCGAGTTCCCGCCGAGATCAGCAGAAAAGCTGCATCCAACACCCCCTGTGCCTTCAAGCAGCTGCAGCTCTTCGCGTGACGAAGTCCATAGGAGAAGTCGGAAGGAGATTCTCCTGTCACGGGCACTCACACGTTGACAGCATCATGCATAATCACAGAACTTCTGGTTTTTAGAGGAAGCTGCCAGCGATTGACACAAATCCCGACAAAGTGTCCAGCCGGGCTAGACCGTGCCTCTTTCA